TATTCATAATTTTTTTAAGGTGAAGCTGAAGAAGTACACCAAGTTTCTTTTTGTGCGGGACCCCTTTGTGCGCCTCATCTCTGCCTACCGGAATAAATTTGAGCTGCGCAATGAGGACTTCTATCGGCGCTTTGCTCAGGTCATGCTGCGTCGCTATGCCAACCAGCCGACGCCTCCTGCCTCTGTGGATGAGGCGTTCGGTGTGGGTATCCATCCCTCTTTCTCCCACTTCGTCCAGTACCTCCTGGACCCTCAGACAGAGAAGGAGATGCCCTTTAATGAGCACTGGCGGCAGGTATATCGGCTTTGCCATCCATGCCAGATTCAGTATGACTTTGTGGGCCACCTGGAGACTGCAGAGGAGGACGCCGAGCACCTACTACGCCAGCTGCGGGTGGACAATGTGGTGGAGTTCCCCACCTCGCATAGGAACCTCACAGCCAGCAGCTGGGAGGCTGATTGGTTCAGCACAGTGCCTGTCGAGGCACGGAGAGAACTCTACAAGCTGTACGAACCTGACTTCAGGCTCTTTGGCTACGACAGACCAGAGTCGATCCTCAATGAATGACTCATGTTTCTACAGAACTGACCCAGCCACACACAGACACAATGTTTTTTATGCCATGAATTAATGCTTCACACGCAGTGACACTTCCCCTTTGTTCTGGGCTTTGCAGATGTGTTCTCCAGTCTTGTCTATTCTACACTGAATGTGCACATTATTCCAGGACACTCGCTGCTCTAAGGAAGCACACTACCGAGGTGAAGCCACGCTATTATTGTCTTTCTTTTTAAATCACAAAGATAACAAGAAGCACACAAGTTAGAGTCAGACAGTTGGATAGCAAGCGTCCTGAGATGTTGCACATACAGTGTAGTCTTTAATTCAAAACTCCACGCTGAGTGCACTCCTAACTTCGATGTCACTCCACGCCTGTCATTTGTGATGCCACAGTTTTATTGTGACTAACTGTGATAATCACGCAGGCTCCGTAGCAGGATGTTTGAAACCTCCACGAAGTGATGTCACAGAGCCATAGAGAGGCGAAATCCCTCTTCTTCCGGTGTCCCCCATGGGTGCTTGTTTCATCTAGTCAGTGCCCCTATCTAGAGCCAGTGTTTGGTTTGTCTGTTCTGGGCTACTGTAGAAACTGGAAAGAGGACCTGTACATAAAAATCAGATCAATCCAAGTTAACGAAAACACATCTCTTATTTTCAGGTGATTATACTCAGATGAAAACATACATATAAATATTAAATTCCATTTCTGCCAATAGATCCTCCTAAATGTTACACACTAGTTTAAAAGATAATTTTGCAAGTCAAGTTTGTCAGCAGTACTATTTAGTTTCATGTGGAACTGTCACCTCGCACAATATATGTTGCAGGTACCAACTTGAAAGTCCCTTGTAACGTTTTCTTACCTGATGTGCATATGATATCCAGTAAGTCCTGGTCATTTTATCAGCCGACAGGGGAAAATCCCAGTAGGAAACACACAGGCATTGTAACTTGTGGAGAGAGAAATGAGGTCACTTACTCTTGGGGACTTTTGGGTGTGTAGTCTTTCTAATGTATTTTCAGTCTTATACTTCAGCAGTTTCACAAACAAACTGCAACTTTCTTGACTTGCAGTACTTACCTTTTAAATTGTCAAACATCATATGTGTAATTCATGGCACAATTTGAACAGATCAAAAACGTAATCGCCATTAACTTCCGTACGTATTTTATCCGAAAAGGAGTCCTGCGGTGGTCCACCGTAAGGGGAGGGACGTTGCTTCTCTGTACTCTATGCTTGTGATGTCATAGAAACCCTTTAGGCTGTGACAGTGGACAGGAAATGCAGGCGAATAGGTAAAATAAAGTGTTACTAGATAGATAGTTTTAAGTGTAGTTGCACTAGTGTTAGTAATCATCTTATTTATTTCACATTGTGCAAGTGCAATGTTTATGTTAAGCATGAAAGGGATTTTTACATTGAAAACATACTTATGACAGCTATCAACATCAGAAACAGAATTATTTTATACCTCATACACAGATTACGAAGATACTCATGTTATGTAACGCATACTTAACAACAAACACTACTTCTTCAGCATGGGGAAGTCCGTTAAGTTATGTCAGTAGAAACATTTCAGATAATATTTTAGCAGCTTGTTTCATTTGGCCTGTTGCACAGCATGGTGTACATGCCACACTGTAGCCTCATCATATAGGAGCGTAGTGAACAGTAGACTGCGCAGCTGGATTTGTCTCAGCTTGTCTTTGAGGCATAAAACTGGAGTTTTAACATTCTTTTGTTTCCATCAGCAGGATGTACACAGGTGAGCATCTGTGTTTCAACAGACACTTTTCCAAAGGGAACTCATTCTTATTATTTTACTGCTTGTTGTTACAGTGACAGTTTTATCATCGGTTGTGTTTTCACGCACAATCTGCAGTCATTAACACTGAACACTGGGTAACCCTGGAGACTGCAGCAGTGTCGTTGCCCCACCCCCCCAAAAAAACTGTATTAATATGACATTTTATAAAGGCGGCATTTTAATGGGACGCAGTATTTTGTAGCAAAGAGCTGAGCACATTATGTGACGCCAACAAGGAGCAAAGATCACTCATGAAGTTGGCTTGATGCTAGCATATTAAGTACAACTGTTGGTGCAAGATGAGTGTATGGTCAGTATTAGTGAGGTTCCAAGTAAAGGTTTGATCATGGTTAGAGTCAGGATTAATCATCATGATCTGGGCGTGGATTGGGCCACACGTTTTATACGAGAAAAGTGGAAAGATACTAAGATAAGATAGTGCCTTTGGTTGCAAACGTTTACACAGCAAAAAAGTATTTTTGTAGAAGGACTTAATTTTTACTTAGAACATAATACAGTGAGAGCTGTATGAAACCACAACAAGGTATATTTGATATACTGGGCCTTGTTTATCATGTGTAATTATTATTTGGAAAGAAAAGGGAACAACAGAGCCCTTCAGCAGAACTGACTTTATAGGAATGTGTATGGTTCATGACGCTGTGAGGACTCTGTCAGTGTGCATGTGTCCAGTGGATTGCTGTGTAACATTTCAATTGCAGGATTACTGTGTGGTTTGTACTATGTCTGATGTCATGGACATGATGTGTGCCACATTATTCTGCAAGTCACTAAGGTGTTCACACTATTGAGTCAGTGTTGTCTCACTGCCTTCTAGTTTATTTGTTTTGTATAAGTGTACACAATTTACAGTATTTTACTGTGTTGTTTTTTATTTTAATCAGATTTTGACTCCTTCGTGACTTAGTTTTAACTTGGACAGCCTGGAATTAATATTATTATTATATATATGTAGCTGGTTTTCTGTCATCATCACTTGGTGCATTTTTTCATATAGGTCTAAATAACAGAAAAACAGGTATATGTTAAGCAAAAAAAACCTATATATTGTGCACTCCCACCTCTCCAGTGTTTTGATCGTCAGTCAGATTTTCATATCTTTTGTATTTTTGTTCTTTTGTTGTGTTTTTTTATGTCCTGATGTTAACCATGGCAGCAATGTTCTTGGCTGGTTTTTCTTTGAAAGTGCAAACAACAACACACTCACTTTTTGTAAGGTGGAAAGATGCATTTATTTATTGGCAGAATAAAACTGAGTACATGCTGCTTTTGAAAAGAGAAAATCGGTCTTTGGGGTGTTAATGGCTCTTTCCGAGGGTTAGAGTTATTTGTGTATCCACAGTGACCTGACGCTTCAACAGCATTCATACTTCGAACTACTTAAATGTTGTTGAAGCTGCAGTGCCAAACCTTCTCCTACATTTTGACCTCATGCCAATTCCTAACGTTGAATAGCATAACAGACCAAAATACCCAAATCTATTTTTGTGATTCATTGTTTTGTAAAACATAAAGCAGTTTGATAAACGTGTTCCTTCTCTCATAAACGGGAAAAATTCTGTTTCAGTGTCATGCATCATCTGGTCTTCTCTACAAGAGAAATAAAGGTTGTGTGGCATGATGGAGAATTTAATTGTCTTTTATTGTGCAAATCACTTATAATATTGGCGCAGAATAAATATTGATCTGCCATATTTTATTATATTGTTAATATCTTTATAAAGCTGAATGGTAGCTTTGTTTGAGGACTGACATGAAGGCGTTGTCAACAGGAAAAGGAGTTGTCAACAGGAAATGTGGATAATGTTAACAAAAACAAGGAATGTCTGGATGTTTGTGCCTGAAATGTTAACACACCAGCTTACCACACACACACACACACACACACACACACACAGTTGTCATGATATATTCATGACATTTTGTTTATTTAGATCCCCATTAGTTTGTGTATTGTCACAGTAGCTACGCTACACAGTGTATGTGTATCATATTTGAGACACCAAACAGCTGTCATCAGAAATGGGGATGGGATAAAAGAAGAAACATAAGAAACCACTAAAGCTACAGCACAAAAACACTGAACAACCATTCAGTTACTCAGTGACTGCGGGGCGTCCTCAAAGGGTTACTGTGTTCATGTTCATGTTTATCAAAATCTTCATTACAAGATCTTTTGTAGATGGTGTAGACAGACCAAGCTAAAAAAAAAACCCAGCAAGATATGCAACATGGGTGTGATCCCTCACTGGCTTCCCAACCATCAATGTTTTCAAAGGTCTTTGTAGTGGTGGACAGGTTTTTTTTTTACCCTGCACCACCTTTAATGTCAGTATAATGATTTTTAGTAGATTAGTGTGAATAGTACCATATAATTGTAATAACATTAACAAAGAACATTTTTGGTTTCTTCCTTAAACCCACTGGAGCTGAATCATGAGTGTTTACTGCCCTCCAGTGGTCACAGCAAAGAACTATACTAATACCTTCAGTCAATACCTTCAAATTAAATCTAAGCTACTGAAAGCAAGCAATGAGAAACAGTAATTACTATGGAAGTATCATGTTTATTGTTCTCTTGTGGTCACAGGAACAAAACAAAACCCCATATTTATACTTATTATTGTTCTTCTGTAGTATCAGTTATGGCATTTATTGTCATGTTAGTGGGCCCACTAATGTTAATAATATCTTTATTGCAGGTAATGTGTCAGTTTACATGAGTGTATGTAATATTATTTAATTTTGACTTGTCAGACTTTTACTGCTTTATGTTTTATTTAGGCCTCCATTTTATGTACAATTCACTGTTTATATTCATTCTCTTTATATTTACATGATACTGTATTAAAAGGGAGGGAGTGGAGGAGGATAATCAGCACCTTCTGGTACACATGTTTAGCACAAAACATTCAAGTACAATTTAAAAGCATTATCAATCCCAAAAACATAAAAGTCAATCCAAAAAATGAAATCTTACTGGGAGAGAACATAATGTTTCTTAAAGTTCTTACACAACAGAAGTTCAATTAGCACCAAGTTTTAGCACCACGTACAAATCTCAGTAACAGTCCACATTACCAATGAAAGTGTACTTTTTCTCACCATATACTGCACGGACCATTGCTTAGTTTTTTTATTACAGCCATCTTTCAACTTTCATTTGCTGTCACTGAAAGTAAACAGATTTGTTTTAAAATCAATACTGCTCTGTGGGTTTAACCTCTTTAAAAATATGATCTTTAATCCATCAAGTACACATTAGGGATCGACAGGGGAACATTACCAACTCATTTGGGGAAATAAACTTATTTATGTTTTTTACTGAGAGTTAGATGAGAAGATACCATTCTCATGCTAGTACGCTAAATATGATGTTACAGCTAGCTAAAAGGCTAGACTGGCTCTTTATAAAGGTTACAAAATCCACCAACCAGCACCTTTAAATCCCACCAAGGTTCATATCTTCTTTGTTTGATTTGTACAAAACCAAATTTCAAGTCTCTACTCGCAGCCAAGAAATGGTCTGGCAAATAACCCCTGTAAACCGATCATTCTGTTTATGCTTTGCGCTGATTTAACAAACAAGATCTAACCTTTGTGAACAGAGCTATGCTAGTTCTTTTCCCTTTTACCGGCTTTATGCTAAGCTAACCAGCTGCTTGCAAGAGTGGTTGCAATTTCCACATCGAACCCTCAGCAAGCATATTTCCCAAAATGTTGAACTAACTTTTTTCTTTTCTTGTTGTGGCATGTATGCAGTATTCAGACAATTTTCTATTGGGGTAATGCAGTTTATTTCTTCACATTTTGTCAAAGAGGTATTGCTCATTCTCCGGCAACCATTTTGATTCTTGCACCTTTTTATCTAAATATAAAAGAACACATTTTTTAGTCATTGTGCTTCCATGCCAGTCCAATGTGTTTCCTTTCCACACATCCGAGCTCACCAGTCTAATCCTCAGCCTTCCCTCTCTTTTTCATTTGCCCTCCACGCCATCTTTGATAAGGTATCCATTGAAAGTGATATAGACATCTACATCATCGCTGTAAATTGCGTTCTCCCTCTCCCTCTTGTACAGGCGGACCCACACCTCGTCGCTCAGCTCCAGCTTCAGCATCAGGCTCTGACTCTGCATGATGGAGCGATCGCTGGGCTGAGCGTACACGATAGCCTGCTCCGTGTCGTTCTGCATGATGTGTACGTACGTCTCTTTGAAGTTCCACGTGTGAATGTTCAAGTTGAAGAAGTAGATCCCGGGAATGTGGCAGAGGAATTTCCCCTTGAACATGTCGAAGTGACCGTCCAGGTTGACGAAGACCGTGTCAAACACAACTGCCTGGTAGGACTCTAGGCTGTGCAGGGATTTTCGACGGCCGACGGAAAAGGCGGAGTACTGGACCTTGCAGGGGTCTCCTGGAAGACCGGCATGTCCCTTTGTGCCTTTTGAGCCCATGGGACCTCTGGAGCCTGGAGGGCCTTCGTGTCCAGCTTTACCTGGCGTTCCCCTGTCACCACGTTCTCCTTTGTCACCTGCACAGAGTGATATTAGTCACACTACAGTATACCTTCAATAAAAGTAAACTAAAGGAATTATATGCTTATGGAAGATAAACTAAGCCACCCAGTTCAATTCATGATAACTGTTTATGTGTTTTGGGGGTCACCTGTTGGATACTTGGTTATAAAGGCTGGAGCTTTCTTTAAACTATATGAAACTCAAAGACACTGGACCTGGTGTGGAGTTGACTTAGCTGTCTAAAAATCTGTGTGAACACTTAAAAGTAGCATATATGGTGAACACACCTCATCAACCAAGAGAAAAGGTGAGAGGTTGAGTAGGTTTATGATGGACATATAGTATTTAGGGGTCTAATAGGGGTCCATACTGTAGATATAGTACCTTTGAGGATAGTCATGTTGATGTAGGTGCGGACCTCTGGCACATGGCTGAACCTCCCTGTGGGAGGCTGGTCTCCGCTGCCCTCTTCTGGCTCCAGGTGATCACAGCAGTGCCTGCACGGGAAAGGAGGAGCACTCGGAGGAGGCACCAGGGCCACCAGGGAGGTGAGGGACAGAAGGAGGAGGACACCCAACATAGCTATATGCCTACAGCAAGAACAGAGGGAAAAAACAGATGATTGGAAGAGCCTTGAAATTCTTGACTTTCTACTTCTTCTTGATGTTGGAAACTCAGTGTGTGCCTTCCAGGTTACTGAGGCTAATACAAACAGTCACTGAAGAGCTCTGGGACCCTATAATATGATTATATTTCCAGTTCTCTCTTCCATTTTAGAAATCAGGACGTTTGCTCTACAATAACAGGTTGAATTACAGTTACATAAGGGACTCTTAAAGAACACTTAAACAAAAAATGAAAGCATACAGCGAAGGTAGTAAGAGTCTACAGCCACACTAGCGGCTCTGTGAGACTATGCTTAGACACAGCAGTGCTTTGAGCTAAAATGTGAGCATGCTAACATGCTGCTGATAATATTTATAATGTTTACCATGTTAGCATGCTAACATTTGCTAACTAGCACTAAACACAACATACAGCTGAGGTCATAAACCAAGTACTTTTACTTGGCTTTTAAAATCTAGCTGAGTCTAATGTGTTTTTAACGTATGTAATGTACTGTTTTATATTGTTTTACTGATTGATGTTCTTGTATGTACAGTGTCTTTGAGTATTTAGA